CTGGATATAAACTGGGAATCTCATGAGCCCCTCTTTGGGTTCGGTTAATTTGCTAGAGTGGCTCACAGAACTCAGGGAATCACATTTATTAGTTTATTATAAAGGATATACAGTTGAAGAGATACACATGGCAAGGTATGCCCTCCCTGGGAACACCACTCTCCAGGAACCTCCTTTTGTTCCTGTCCAGAAGCTCTTCGAATCCTCTCCTCTTGGGCCTTTTATGGAGACTTCATTAGATGGGCATGACTGACACACATGTAGAAATGTGACTGGAGAAAAAATATATGATCTAATATTAATAGACTGGGGAAACTCAGCAAGGCCTGTCTGTTCAGATTCTTCCTGGCCTCTCTGGGTAGCATTCCTTCCTCCAGGGTATGGGGTAGGACCTCTTCTGAAATGAAAGTCTTATGACCCATAATCAGAAAGGCAGGGGAAGATGAGAGTCCTGCTTTGGGCAGGTGAAAGTCAGAGAGAGATTCTGTTTTCTGAGGCTTGCTTCAAGAGTTCCAACATTATAACGAAAGCTAGGGGAGTTATGAGCTAGGAACCATGGACAAAAACTAATATACATATATCATAGTATCACAGATACTCAACCTGTACTGCTGGCATAAGAATAAATTAGTACAATTTTATGAAAACAATAGGTATTAAAAGCTTTAAAAACACTTATCCTTAAAAGAACTGACCACAAAATACAAAAATAGCCAGTTGGCACATAAAAATAGGCTCACCATCATTAGTCATGGGGAAATGGAAATTAAAATGCACATCACCAGGGTAAGAGAACCAATACTGAATCTAGCTGATAGACAAACCTCAAGTATAAATTCAGGGAAAAGAGAAAGAGAAAATAATATATAACATCATAGCATTCACGAAAAATGTCAACCTTTTACTCTGAAATACTTTTAGACTTACAGAAAATTGCAAAACTGGTCGAGTTCTCCTACTCCCAGTTTCCTGATGTTAACATCTTACTTAACGTAATTATCAAAATTTAAAAATGAACGTTGGTATATTATTAACTACATACTTTACTCCCCCCAATCTGTGGCATTTCCTCGGTTGTTCCTTGGTTTTTATGACCATGAGACTTTTTTTTTTTTTTTTTTTTTTTTGAGACAAAGTCTCGCTCTTGTCCCCCAGGCTGGAGTGCAATGGTGCGATCTCAGCTCACCACAACCTTCGCCTCCTGGGCTCAAGCGACTCTTCCGCCTCAGACTCCTGAGTAGCTGGGATTACAGGCGCCTGCCACCTTGCCCAGCTAATTTTTGTATTTTTAGTAGAGACGGGTTTTCACCATGTTGGCGAGGCTGGTCTCGAACTCCTGACCTCAGGTGATCCGCCTGCCTCGGCCTCCCAAAGTGCTGGGATTATAGGAGTGAGCCACCGCACCCGGCCCGGCCAACCATGACACTTTTAAAGAGTATTGCTCAGTTGGTTTTTGTTTGTTTGTTTGTTTGTTTAGACGGAGTCTCATTCTGTCACCCAGGCTGGAATGCAGTGGAGCGATCTTGGCTCACTGCAAGCTCTGCCTCCCGGGTTCATGCCATTCTCCTACCTCAGTCTCCCCAGTAGCTGGGACCACAGGCGTCTGCCACCACGGCCAGTTAATTTTTTTTTTTTTTTTTGTATTTTTAGTAGAGACAGGGTTTCACCATCTTAGCCAACATGGTCTCAATCTCCTGATCTCGTGATCCGCCCACCTCGGCCTCCCAAAGTGTTAGGATTACAGGCGTAAGCCACCTCACCCGGCCTGGACAGTTATTTTGAGAATGCCTCTTAATTTGGGTTTGTCTGATGTTTTCTCATGATTAAGATTATGCATTTTTGGCAAGAATATAATGGCAGTGATGGGGGGGAATACATGCTGTCAATATATCTTATTACCTATTCAACCATGATCAGTGAAATGTTTTTTGCCACATTTGTCATTATAAAGTTGCTATTTTCCTTTTGTAACTTAAAAATATCAAAGATACTTTCAGACAGCAAACATTCTGTTTCTCTTCAATCTTTCAATCACTAAGCACCCATCAGTGGCTCTTGCCTGTAACAATTACTTTGTAGCATTCTGTGATTTTTCTACCTATTAATGTAAATTTCTTAAACATAAAAGAAAACTCAATCTAACAGATAAACATACAAAAAGGTACAAATGGTAGCTTGGAAGAACAAACCTTACATGCTTGAGAGTGGATGCCAACTATTATTTAACATTTTTAGTAATCTGGAAGAAGAAATACAAAGCAGTGGCTCCCAAAATTTGCTATACATTAAAATTACCTGGGAACTTTTACCTTTTTTTTTTTTTTTTTTTTTTTTTTGAGACAGAGTCTCGCTCTGTCGCCCAGGCTGGTGTGCAGTGGTACAATCTCAGTTCACTGCAATCTCCACCTCCCGGGTTCAGGCCATTCTCCTGCCTCAGCCTCCCGCCTCCCGAGTAGCTGGGATTACACATGTGCGTACCACCCCGCCCAGCCTTTTTGTATTTTTAGTAAAGAAGGGGTTTTGCCATGTTGGTCAGGCTGCTTTAAATACTATTGATATTTGACTTCCACAACTGTATATACTAACTTAATCGGTATGGGTATGACCTGGGCATGGGTTTTTTTCTTTTTTTCTTTTGTTGTTGTTTTTGAGATAGAGTTTTGCTCTTGTTGCACAGGTGGGAGTGCAATGGCACAGTCTCGGCTCACTGCAACCTCCATCTCCTGGGTTCAAGTGATTCTCATGCCTCAGTCTCCCAAGCAGCTGAGACTACAGGCGCATGCCACCACACCCAGCTAATTTTTGTATTTTGAGTAGAGACCGGGTTTCACAATGTTGGCCAGGCTGGTCTCGAACTCCTGACCTCAGAAGATCCACCCACCTCGGCCTCCCAAAGTGCTGGGATTACAGGCATGAGCCACCGCGCTCAGCCCGGCATGGGGATTTTTGTTTTGTTTTGTTTTTTTCCTAGACATAGTCTCGGTCTGTCACCCAGGCTGGAGTGCAGTGGTGAGATCTCAGCTCACCGCAACCTCCACCTCCCAGATTCAAGCGATTCCTCTGCCTCAGCCTCCCCAGTAGCGGGGACTACATGCGCGTGCCACCACGCCCGGCTAATTTTTTGTATTTTTAGTAGAGACAGGGTTTCACCATGTTAGGTGAAATGGTCTCGATCAGGATGGTCTCTATCTCCTCACCTAGTGATCCGCCCGCCTCTGCCCCCCAAAGTGCTGGGATTACTGGCGTGAGCCACCGTGCCCGGACGGGGATTTTTAAAAGCTCTCCAGGTAATTCCAATATGCAGCAGTTTGGGAGCCAAGATCTACATAAGACAATCGAAACACCAGCAATCCATGATTTAAATATGAGAAACACAGGTTATACAGTTGAGTGAGCACCCAACTGTATTCTAAAAAAAGCATTTCAAAAACTAACAACTACCTTGAAAAAAAGTCTTACAACTGCAAAGCAGGAGGGTGAGTGGAAAGAAAAATAATTAAAATCACAGTAGTCAAAGCATTAATTCCTTATAAATTCCAATCGACCACTCGCCTAAAACAGGCAGAATGTGATACTTTAAACATTTACCAGTTAAAACCATAACATGCCAGAAATCCCTTTACTTTGAAGAGGTTTTTCTGTAGTACTGGAACAGATTGAGCCAACGAATAGTATTGTCACAAAAAAAACACAGGCTAAGCACCATATTAGGTCCAAATACCAGAAGTGGAGCAGGAATAGGAAGCGGTGATTTAAGTTCAGCAAACCATTTACTAAGCACACAATCACAAAAACAGACATGCAGACTTTAACAGATAATAAGGTTTTTGAGGTTTTCCGTTTATGTATTTACTCGAGAAAGCAAGAGCTTTATTTATTTATTTTTGAGACGGAGTTTCGCTCTGTCGCCCGGGCTGGAGTGCAATGGCTCCATCTCGTCTCACTGAAACCTCTGCCTCCCGGGTTCAAGCGATTCTCCCATCTCAACCTCCCGAGTAGCTGGGATTACAGGCGCGCGACGCCACGCCTGTATAAAAATACTAAAAATGCAAAAATAATTTTTGTATTTTTAGTAGAGATGGCGTTTCATCATGTTGGCGAAACTCCAGGCTGGTCTCGAACCCTGACCTCGGTGATCTGCCCGCCTCGGCCTCCCAAAGTGCTGGGATTACAGGCGTGAGCCACCGCGACCGGCCAAGAGCTTTATAAAGATGGAAAACGAAGCAGACTTTCTGCCCAAGCCATGCTTTTGGATAAGGATTACACTACTTTGAAATCTTACATATATAGCACTTGGCCAACTATCAAAACTGCACAAACCTTCACTAATTGCAATTATTCCCTTTAACATCTCGAGTTACCCCAATCCGCACAAAACAAGTTTAGTGCCCACCAGGTAATAATACATTCAGGAAAATAATTCCAAGACAGACGTTTAAGAACTACAGAGAAAAACATACTTTTTTCTACAAGAAAAATCTTAGAGGACAGTACCAGGGCCTTATCTCTGTTAGCATGATTTATATTTCACGTAACGTTGGCCCAGTCACTGCTACATTATAAAACCAATAGCCAAGGCAACATAGAAAGTCTGAACACATTGACAGCGAATGGTTCTAAATTTTCTTACCAAGGTAACAAACACCTGGCAAAACTGCCAGCAGCGGGTGCCGCAAATGCTGGGCTCGGGGTCCACTGGAAGGAAAACGGAAGGGCTCTTGAATATCTTTTCGCCTTTCTGGGAGCAGGCCAGTGAGTTTCGAGCGAGATTTATTCGCTGTGACGACGGAGAAACCGAGAAGGGGTCGTAAAGGATCTTGCCCCGGCAACCGCCCCCAGCAGCAAAAAGCCGAGAGCGTCACGCCCAGTTACGAGGCTCCCAGACTGAGGTCAGTCAGCGCGCGCGCTATGAAGGGCCGTTGACGCGGCTGCGCACCGCGGCCCTTCCGCTTCCCGCCCCGCCCATCCAGGCTCAACCTTCACCCGGGAGCCGCCACTTCCGTGGGCGCGTGCGCAGTGGCGGGCCGGGCGCGTGCGCAGCGCCGGCTTCTTCCCAGCGCGAGCTGGTGCTCACGCTCCTCCTCCAGCTTGCCACCCCCGCTTGCCAGCAGCGGCCCGGTACCAACGGGTGGTCTCGCCGAGGGAGCTGTCGTGCCTCGTGGTCCCGGGACTGCAGTGGTGTGCGCTCTCGGCGCGTGGCGCTAGGCGTGGCGCTAGGCATGGCGATGGATCAAGTAAACGCGCTGTGCGAGCAGCTGGTGAAAGCGGTGACGGTCATGATGGACCCCAACTCCACCCAGCGGTACCGGCTGGAAGCCCTCAAGGTAGCTGGGGTCCTGGCGTCCTGGGGCGATCCCGACACCCTCTCCCAGCCCCAGCAGCTCCGGTGCCGCCTGTAACTGGGGTAGTCTCCCGCCCACGCGGCCCCTGGACCTCCTTTTCCAACTCTTCAGGACCTTCCCTTCGCGGCCCTCCGCGCCTCTCCCAAACCCCCGCCTTCTCTACTCGCCGTTCCTGTCCTTTGCCTGGGACACTCCGGTCCCTAGCTGCTTCTCATCTCGCCGCTGCTTCCCACAGCCCTCTCCTCCCCCTGTCCTCTCTTTGCACTCTTGTTCGCAACACGACCCTCGCCCATTTTCGTTCCCCAAACCCTATATCCCCTCGCCTTACCGAGGCGCACGTGTAGATCCCGCCCCCAACACCAGCTTCATTCTTTATGGTCTCCCTTGCACTAAACGTTTTCTTGCTGGCTCACTCCTCTGACCCGAACTGACCGAGCTCCAGCCCCTCTAGTACCCTTATGTTTATATTCTTTAACATCTCTCGCTAACTTTCGTTTGTGTCTTGGACATTTTCTGAGGAAATTGTCGCACCCCTACTTCTCCCATGTTTTTGAATGTGATATTTTTAGGCTATTTTGCGCAAAGATAATTTCTACCACTTACTTTGCATTTTAACAAGGGCACTTTGGTTTCCTGAAAGTAGTTTGCTTGAGACCCGAATGCTCTGCTCTTGGGACTGACGTATGTTGCAGTTTGAGGGTACTAATACAATTCAAGCTTACTTACCCACAAAACAACGTGTGTGGGCTGTGAGAAATGGCCATTTAGGAGAAAATACTTGTGCTGTACATTTTTAAAGTGATGTTAACTTCAAAAAAGAGAGTGACCACCACTTGGAGGAAATGTTACAATACGTGTATGTATGTATGCCACAGGGTTTGGAGTCAGAAACAGTTGGCTTCTATTAGTTTGGTTTTTATTATTAATATTTAAAGTAGACACAAAAGTGGGGAGAATACGACAGTAATTATGCATGTTCCTGTCACTTAAATTCAGCAATTAAAGATTTTACCACATTTGCTTTTTCCACCGCCTGTCCTTTCTCCCTGCCTTGAAGGTTTTTAAAAGAAACCCTAGAAATTGTTATTTCACCCCTATGTACATCGGTGCATGTCTCTAACAAAAAATTTCTTATTCCTTTGGGTCCATTTTTTCCCAACACTAATAGGGCTACTGTTGGCCACACCATGGAAAAAATCTGGAACCATCACACTGGAAGAAATGTTGATCAATTCTTTACTGATAATATATACATGATATATATACATAAAATAGAGTGGACACCACTTGGAGGAAATGTTGTATATATATAACATTTTATGTATTTTTTATTTATATTTGTATATTAAATATGTATTTTAAAAACAACTGTGCTTGGAGATCCATATAATATTGATCTAGGTTTTGCAACTTAAACCTATAGCTTAGGTTGGAATTTCCTTTTGAGTTAGGGTCTCACTCTGGTTGTCCAGGGTGGCGTGCAGTGGCGAAATCTTGGCTCACTCCAGCCTTGACTTCCTGAGCTCAGGTGATTCTCCCACTACTTCAGCCTCCTGAGTATAGCTGGGACTATAGGCGCCTGCCACCATGCCCGACTAATTTTTAAAAATATTTTTAGGCTGGGCATAGTGGCTCACACCTGTAATCCCAGCACTTTGGGAGGCTGAGGCAGGAGAATTGCTTGAACCTGGGGGCAGAGGTTGCAGTGAGCCAAGATCATGCTATTGCACTCCAGCCTGGGGGGCAGAGTGAGACTCCGTCTCAAAAAAAATATATATATATATATAGTAGAGATGGGGTTTCACCATGTTGCCTAGGCTAGTCTCAAACTCCTAGACTCAAGTTGTCCACCCATCTTGGCCTCCCAGAGTGCTGGGACAGGTGTGGCCCTGGTTGGAGTTTCTTAAGATGAAATTCTTTAGTCCCTATTCTCTCAGCCCTCCAAAGGAAACACTAACTTTTCTTCTTTCAGTTTTGTGAAGAATTTAAAGAAAAGTGTCCTATCTGTGTCCCCTGTGGCTTGAGGTTGGCTGAGAAAACACAGATTGCCATCGTCAGACATTTTGGCCTTCAGATCCTGGAACACGTTGTCAAGTAAGGAGCTCTTGGACATTACCACTGAAGTCTGAGAGAACATATTTTTATATCTTATATAACCTATAGAGATGCTGTTTAGGTGAGTAGAGAAGAGCAGTCTCCAAGAAGAAAGGAATGATCCCCTAGATGTTATCAGGACCTCACAGGAGCTCTCACTCAACATTTAACCTTTCTTTTCTTTAGTTTCTTCATCCATGTAAAGTGTGTGGTACATATTACCCATTCAACAATTATTACTTGCCATTTAGCCAATACTTACTGAGCTCTGACTATGTGCCAGTAGCCCTTGAAGCCTTTTTAGAGTAATGCAATGTATAGGTCAGTAAATCTCTCATTAGGCACTGGGGCTTTCTTTTTTCTCTCTCTCTTTCTGAGTTTGTGTGCTTTCTCTGGGTAGTACATCCAAAGTAGGATTATATGAGAATAACTGAAAACCCCTCCTAACTTGATTGTCCTACCCTCAACACCTGGCAGAAGAGGTAGCCTTCAAGACTTAGCCATAGTTTTTCCGGAATTATTTTGTAAGCCAGCACAGAAAATGAGTGATGTCAAAATTGCATTTTCTGAAAAGCAAGTACATTGCTTGCACTTGTTGGAGTACGTTGTTGGAGTTGACCTAGATGTATATTCAATTTTGGCCCATCAATAAAATCATGAGGATAAACTGATGTGTGGTACAAATCTTGTGCAGATTCCAGCTAATGGACCACTGCATATATAAAACCTTTTCCCAAGAATTTTTCTGTTAATGTTTTGGTTAAATGTAGATCATTTTTGTCCATTTGTTGATGGCTACAAAATCAAAAGTATAATTTCTTAATGAAATCTCCAGTGGAATCAAATGTAGAAATCAGTGCTATTCTCTTGTAAAGGCAAGACTTCTAAAGTGGTTCTATTGACTTTATGCATTTTGGTGGCCAGGTTTCGGTGGAACGGCATGTCTCGATTGGAGAAGGTCTATCTGAAGAACAGTGTCATGGAGCTGATTGCAAATGTAAGGAACGGGTGGTTGGGAGACATGTTTCCAAGGTAGTTTAGGCAAAGCGTGACTTCTTCAATAGAGAGTTTGTGTAAAAATTCACTGGTTCTAAATAGGTCAGACAGCACAAGAAATCATAATTCAGGCCAGGCACAGTGACTCACAACTGTAATTCCAGCACTTTGGGAAGCCGAGGTAGGAGGATCACCTGCGTCTAAGAATTCGAGAGCAGCTTGGGCAATGCAGTGAGACCCCATCTCTACCAAAAATTACAAAAATTAGCTGAGCGTGGTGGCGCATGCCTGTGGTCCCAGCTACTCAGGAGGCTGAGGTGGGAGGATTGCCCGAGCCCAGGAGGTCCAGGCTGTAGTGAGCTGCGATGGTGCCATGGCACTCCAACCTGTGCAACAGAGCAAGACTCTATCTCAAAAAAAAAAAAAAAAAAAAACAGCATAATTCAGTATATGTCTCTTACTAGGTTTGATTAATCACTCTTATGTATTGACTTCTATTTTTTAAATTATAAAGACAGGGCAGAGAGGATTAAATATTTTCAACAAATCAGTAAGATTCTTAGATCTAAATCAGATTGAAACACTGTCTATTTTCTTTTATTCCGAACAACTGCTGTGTGATACTAGTGATGAAAAAGATGCAGAATTTTAAGTATGTGGGATGAGTTTGCTTCAAGTATTAGAATATGACTTTTTCTTTTTTTTCTTTTTTTCTTTTTTTTTTTTGAGACAGGGTCTCTGTTGCTCAGGCTAGATTGCATTAGCGTGACCATAGCTCACTACAGCGTTGAACTCCTGGGCTCAAGTGATCTTCTCGCTTTAGTCTACCAAGTAGCTGGGATTATAGGCATGTAGTACCATGCCCAGCTAATTTTGTTTTTGTCTTTAAAGAGACAGGGTCTCACTATGTTTCCCAAGCTAGTCTGGTCTCAAACCCCTGGCCTCAAGCAATCCTCCCACCTTAGCTTTCCAAAATACTGAGATTACAGGTGTGATGACTGGATGACTGTCTCTTTAAACACAAAACAGAATATATGACTTTAAACATGTTCAAAATTGTAGCCTTTTTTCTTTCTTGTTTTTTTTTTAAATAAAAGACATGAAAGATGGAATCTGTATCTTCTAATACTTCTACGTCTTCTAGTATTAGAACTATTGGTAAAATATATATTTGCTCCTTCATACCCTTCCATTTTACCAGCTACTCACTATACTCCTTATTTCTATACTCTTCCTCCCTGGCCTTCTGCAAACTGAAACAGTCAATATGAGAATCTTTTCATTTTGTAAAGAATAATGATGTCATCGTAGCTCTCTATATGGCAGCCTTTTTATTAGGTGATGCAACCCTCACTTAACCTTTAAGTGGAAGAATGATTAGCGAGAATGCAGGACAAGTGACTCAGGCATGAAGAACAGGTTCATTTGTTCTGTTTGGTTTAAAAGTAGGCCTGCTGATAAATTTTGTACAACTCTACAGCCCGGCCTTTTTGTGGATTCTGGAATCCCGTCTTTCATATCTCTTAATATCTCTTGTTCTTTTTCAGGGAACGTTGAACATTTTGGAAGAAGAGAACCATATTAAAGATGCTCTATCTCGAATTGTAGTAGAAATGATCAAGCGAGAGTGGCCACAGCATTGGCCTGACATGCTAATAGAATTGGACATTCTTTCCAAACAAGGGGTATGAAACACAGCTATATCAGTTTGGTATACTTTTCCTTGGAACAAACTTCAGGGTTGTTTGATTTTGTTTATGGGTTTTTTTTGGCAACAGAAAATAGCCTTTGGATATACATAAAATGAAAAGATATTTTAATTTTTAACTAGCTTATTTCTGTTGGTGTAGGAAACACAGACCGAATTGGTGATGTTTATCCTTTTGCGACTGGCAGAGGATGTAGTGACTTTTCAGACACTTCCCCCTCAAAGAAGAAGGGACATCCAGCAAACATTAACCCAGAACATGGAAAGGATCTTTAGTTTTCTGCTTAACACACTTCAAGAAAATGTAAACAAGTACCAGCAAGTGGTAAGGGATACCCCTACCTATAAAATTTGTATTTTCCATTGTGTTTTTGATTAATCTTACAGTAAGGAACTAGGGTTTCTAGGTCAGCAAAATGAAAGCCTATTTTATAAGCAAAAAAGTAAAAAACTAGGAAATGACAGAAAAGCTAAAGCTCATTTTCTTTCTTTTTTTTTTTTTTTTTAAAAAAGGGATCTCAGCTTACTGCAGCCTCCACCTCCTGGGTTCAAGCAGTTCTCCTGCTTCAGCCTCCCAAGTAGCGGGTACTACAGGCATGTGCCACCACGCCCAGCTAATTTTTGTATTTTTAGTAGAGATGGAGTTTTGCCCTGTTAGCAAAGCTGGTCTCAAACTCCTGACCTCAGGTGGTCTACCTACCTTGCTCTCCCAAAGTGCTGGGATTACAGATGTGAGCTACTGCACCCAGCCCTAGGTGTTATTCTTATTTTCAGAAATTCCTCATGAAAATACTAATTTTTGAGGCCGGGTGTGGTGGCTCATGCCTGTAATCCCAGCACTTTGGGAGGCCGAGGCAGGCGGATCACGAGGTCAGGAGATCGAGACCATCCTGGCAAACATGGTGAAACCCCGTCTCTACTAAAAATACAAAAAAATTAGCCGGCCGTGCTAGCGGTTGCCTGTAGTCCCAGCTACTCAGGAGGCTGAGGCAGGAGAATGGCATGAACCCAGGGGGCAGAGCTTGCAGTGAACCAGATCGCACCACTGCACTCCAGCCTGGGTGACAGAGTGAGACGCCATCTCAAAAAAGAAAGAAAAAAAGAAGATACAATTTGTTTATTTAATTTTTTGGAGAGGAAGTCTCACTCTGTCACCCTGGCTGGACTGCAATGGCACAATCTCAGCTCACTGCAACCTCCGCCTCCTGGGTGCAAGCGATTATCCTGCCTTAGCCTCCCAAGTAGCTTAGATTACAGGCGCATGCCACCATGCCTATCTGATTTTTGTATTTTAGTAGAGATGGAGTTCACCATGTTGGTCAGGCTGGTCTTGAACTCCGGACCTCAAATAATCCACCTGCCTTGGTCTCCCAAAATGCTGGGATTATAGGCGTTGAGCCACCATGCCTGGCCTAATTTTATATGCTTGTAAGTTAACATTATGTGCCTTTGTATGGATTTCAAATATGAGAATAAAAATAAACCATATTTATATATTCACTGAATAGCCACTATTTTAATGTATTTAACATTGTGTGTGTATATATATACACATATATATATACACACACACACACATTTTTTGAGACAGAGTTTCACTTTTGTTGCCCAGGTTGGAGTGCCATCTCGGTTTACTGCAACCTCTGCCTCCCAGGTTCAAGTGATTTTCCCGCCTCAGCTTCCCAAGTAGTTGGGATTACAGGCATGCGCCACCACGCCTGGCTAATTTTTGTAATTTTAGTAGAGATGGAGTTTCACCGTGTTGGCCAGGCTGGTCTCAAACTCCTGGCCTCAGGTGATCCACCCGCCTTGGCCTCCCAGACTGCTGGGATTTACAGGTGTGAGCCACCATGCTCAGCCAACATCCAGTATTTTTGAGTACATGGTTTTCATATACTTACGCCATACATACATGATCATAAATTGTATTCATTTAATTATGCTTCTGACCTGTTCTCCCTAGGGGAATGTCAGTTATGCGTTCTTAGTAAAGTTGTGTTATTTTCCAAGATTAAAAATTGCATATATTTAAGAATCATTATTCAAGGGCATTGATTGGCAGGGGGTAGAAAGTTATGTGGCCTTTTGCTCATTAAAAACACTGGATCTTTATACTTCCTTTCAGAAGACAGATACTTCTCAGGAGTCAAAGGTAAGAGCTCTTTGTAAGTTCGAAGGAGACCTTTGAACCTTTCAAGTGAGGGGATACATGCACCTAGTGGATGGTGACCTCAGCCTTGCTTCTGTTGTGTTGTTTTGGAGACAGGATCTTAGTCTGTTGCCTAGGCTGGAGTGCAGTTGTGTGGTCTCAGCTTACTGCACTCATGATCTCCCCAGCTCAAGTGATCCTCTCACCTCAACTTCATGAGTAGCTGGGAATATAGGTGCACACCACCATGCCCAGCTAATACTTTCTATAGAAACAGGGTCTCAGTGTGTTGCCCAGGCTGGTCTCAAACTCCTGGCTTCAAGTGATCCTCCAGCCTCGACCTCCCAAAGTGACTGTGGGCCACTGCGTCTGTCCTTTTTTTTTTTTGAGATTGAGTCTCGCTCTGTCACCCAGGCTGTAGTCCTGTGGTGCAACCTCAGCTCACTGCAAGCTCCGCCTCCCAGGTTCATGCCGTTCTCCAATAGCTGGGACTGCAGGCGCCCGCCACCATGCCTGGCTAATTTTTTTGTATTTTTAATAGAGATGGGGTTTCACCATGTTAGCCAGGATGGTCTCGATCTAACCTCGTGATCTGCCTGCCTCAGCCTCCCAGAGTGCTGGGATTACAGGCATGAGCCACCGCGCCCGGCTTGTCCTTTGTTTTGTATTTGATCCCTGAGCTATAGTGGAAGGGAATTTAAGAAAAAACTTTTTTTTTTTGGACACAGGGTCTTACTTTGTTACCCAGGCTAGAGTATAGTGACTCATACATGGCTCACTGCAGCTTCAACCTCCAGGGTTCAAGTGAGCCTTACCTCAGCCACATGAGTAGCTGGGACTATAGACACACACCATCATGCCTGACTAATTTTTATATTTTTTTTAGTTTGGATTTTTTTTTCTTTTTTTCATTTTTTTTTTAATAGACACTACATTTTGCCATGTTGCCCAGGCTGGTCTTGAACTCCTGGGCTCAGTTGATCCACCCACCTTGGCTTCCCAAAGTGCTGGGATTACAGGTGTGTACCACTGCGCCCAGCCTTGGGAAGTAAAATGATAAGATTTGGAGTTTTGTAAAAAAGATAAAACGGCCACACATGCCACTAGGATCTTATCGATGGATATTGAGAATGCCATTGTTTGAGAAGTGATTGTGTTCCCTACCTGTGACTGACATGAGTATATACTTAAAAAATAATTTTCTTAGAATTAGAAAATAGGAGTTCAGTTATAACCACAGGTACCTTTTACTGAGGACTTCATGGTCCAAAGTTACTTCTTTTCTGGTAGGCGCAAGCAAACTGTCGAGTAGGAGTTGCAGCATTGAATACTCTAGCAGGCTATATTGACTGGGTGTCTATGAGTCACATCACTGCTGAAAACTGTAAACTCCTGGAGATACTGTGTTTGCTGTTGAATGAACAGGAACTTCAGTTGGGAGCCGCTGAGTGTCTTCTCATTGCAGTCAGCAGAAAAGTAAGTTACTACTTCAAACTGATTTATCCTCAGAGTCTCAGAAGTAGGCTGTGTATGTGTTTAATTGCATGTTGTTGCAGAAAGTCATTTAAAGGGTTGGGTTTTTTTCCTTGGGGCCAATTTACTGCCTGCTTCCAACCCCCTTGGACAGGAGTTTGCCAATATTCAAGGGATCCTTTGGCAGAGTATGGAGATTTGTCAGGCTACATGGTTCTCGAAACAGCCATGATACTTGGCAGTTTACAGTTAATAGATAAAAGTAAATGTTTAAGTTTAAAGCTCGCTTGATGAATGTCAAGGAATCTTGGATGGTGGCTACACTGGGTTTATATCTGTCTTTTTTTTTTTTTTAATTGAAACAGTCTTGCTCTGTCACCCAGGCTGGAGTGCAGTTGCATGATGTTGGCTCACTGCAATGTCCGCGTCCCGAGTTCAGGCGATTGTCTCAGCTCTGCCTCCCAAGTAGCTGGGACTATAGGCACATGCCACCATGCCCGACTAATTTTTGCATTTTTCAGTAGACACGGGGCTTCGCCACGTTAGCCAGGCTGGTCTCGAACTCCTGACCTCAAGTGATCTGCTCTCCTCAGCCTCTTAAAGTGCTGGGATTACAGGCGTGAGCCACCGCGCCCAGCCTATATCTGTCTTGGCTAACCAATGGAACCATGACTCTTTTCTCCGTGGGAATATTATCTACAAATGTAATTTACTTTGCTGTCATATCAGCATTATTGCCCAACACATTTATTTGTTTATTTATTTATTTATTTATTTATTTGTTGAGACAGAGTCTTGTTCTGTTGTCTAGGCTGGAGTGCAGTGGCGCAATCTTGGCTTACTGCAACCTCTGCCTCCCGGGTTCAAGCAATTCTCCTGCCTCAGCCTCCTGAGTAGCTGGGATTACAGGTGTGTGCCACCACACCCAGCTAATTTTTGTATTGTTTAGTAGAGACGGGGTTTCACTATGTTGGCCAGGCTGGTCTCGAACTTTTGACCTCAAGTGATCCACCTGCTTTGGCCTCCCAAAGCGCTAGGATTACAGGTGTGAGCCACAGCGCCTGGCCTGATTTTTATGTCTTTAGTAGACATGGGGTTTCACCATGTTTGCCAGGCTGGTCTCGAACTCCTGATCTCAGGTGATCCGCCTGCCTCGTCCTCCCAAAGTGCTGGGATTACAGGCATGAGCCACTGTGCTTGGCCTGCCTAACACATTTAAAAATGTAAGTTTATGCTTCTTCACTAGACTGACAGTTTTGAGAAAAAAAATGTAAGTTTATCCAGATTTCGTTTTAAAGAATTGGGCTTCTTTCTAGTGTTTCACTAAACCCTGCGGTATGTAAGAAATTATGAAGTCGATTTATTTGATTGTATGCTTATAGAAGATGTCGGTACTTTGAAGTATAGTTTATATGACTATGTTTCCCTAAAACTGGGTCTAGGGCAAGTTGGAAGACCGGAAGCCCTTGATGGTCTTATTTGGAGATGTTGCCATGCATTATATACTCTCCGCTGCACAGTGAGTATCTTTACTTTTCAATGTGTTTCCTAATTTCTTTGTCATTTTTCTATTTTATTTGGATATATCTGAAGTTGTTTTTTTTTTTTTTTTTTTGAGATGGATCTCACTCTGTTACCCAGGCTGGAGTGCAGTGGCACAATCTCGGCTTATCACAACCCCTGTCTCCTGGGATCAAGCAATTCTCTTGCCTCAGCCTCCTGAGTAGCTGGGATTACAGGTGCGCCACCGTGCCTGGTGAATTTTTCTATTTTTAGTAGAGATAGGGTTTTGCCATGTTGACCACGCTGGTCTCGAACTCCTGACCTCAGGTGGTCTACCTGTCTCAGTCTCCCAAAGTGCTGGGATTACAGGCGTGAGCCCCTATGCCCACCTTAAGTTCTTATTTAAATGGTAGCTGTCAATCGACAGTGTTTTTGGATAAGAAAATGAGGCATTGGCCGCATGTGGTGACTAACACCTGTAATCCCAGCACTTTGGGAGGCCGTGGCAGGTGGATCACTTGAGGCCAGGAGTTTGAGACCAGCCTGGCCAACATGGTGAAACCCCATCTTTACTAAAAATACAAAAATTAGTCAGGCATGGTGGCGCACGCCTGTAATTCCAGCTACTCAGGAGTCTGAGGCAGGAGAATATCTTGAACCTGGGAGGCAGAGGTTGCTGTGAGCCAAGATCATGCCACTGCACTCCAGCCTGGGCAACGAAGTGAGACTGTCTCAAAAAAAAAAAAAAAAAAGAAAAAAAGGCAGTAATGACCAAATGTGGTAGCTAATATTTGTAACCTCAACACTTAGGGAGGCCAAGGTGGAAGGATTGATTGAGTCAGGAGTTTAAGACCAATCTGAGCAATATGGCGGGAATCCATCTGTACAAAAAAATACAGAAATTAGTCGGGTGTGGTGGTATGTGCACTTGTAGTCCCAGCTACTCAGAAGGCTTAGGTGGGAGGATCACTAGAGCCGGGAGGTCCAGGCAACCGTGAACCATGATAGTGCCACTGCACTCTAGCCTGGGCAACAGACTGAGACCTTGTCTCAAAAAAATAGTTTTAAAAAGTTTATAAAGTTAAAAAGTTACAGTAAGCTAAGCTAAAGGTAATTCATTATTGAAGAAAGGAAGTTTTTGTTGGCGGGGGGGGACGGAGTTGTGCTCTTGTTGGCCAGGCTGGGGTGCAATGATGCGATCTCGGCTCACTGCAACCTCTGCCTCCCAGGTTCAAGCAATTCTCCTGCCTCAGCCTCCCAAGTAGCTGGGATTACAGGCATGCTCCACCATACCCAGCTAATTTTGTATTTTTAGTAGAGACAGGGTTTCTCCCTGTTGGTCAGGCTGGTCTCAAACTCCTGACCTCAGGTGATCTACTTGCCTCAGCCTCCCAAAGTGCTGGGATTATAGGCATGAGCCACCGCGCCTGGCTGGAAAATTTTTAAAATAAATTTAGCGGGCCAGGTATGGTGGGTCACGCTTGTGATCACAACACGTTGGGAGGCCAAGGCTGATGGATCACCTGAGGTCAGGAGTTTGAGACCAGCCTGGCCAACGTGGTGAAACCCCATCTCTACTAAAAGTACAAAAATTAGCCGCATGTGGTGGCACACATCTGTAGTCCTAGCTGCTTGGGAAGCTTGAGGCAGGAGATCGCTTGAACCTGGGAGGCGAAAGTTGCAGTAAGCCAGGATTGTGCCCCTGCACTCCAGCTTAGGCAACAGAGTGAGACTTCATCTATAAATAAATAAATTTAGTTTAGCCTAAGGGTACAGTGTTTATATAAAGTCTACAGTAGGGTCCAGTAATGTCCTAGGCTTCCACATTCACTCACCACTCACTCTGGACTCACCCAGTACAGTTTTCAGTCCTGCAGTCATTCATGGTAAGTGCCTTCTACAGGTATACCTTTTTTTTATCATTTATACCATATTTTTACTGTACTTTTCCTGTATTTAGATACACAAATACTTACCATTGTGTTACAATTGCCTGCAGTATTGACTACAGTAACATGCTGTAGAGGTTTGTAGCCTATGAGCAATAGACTATGCCATATAGCCTAGATGTGTAATAGGCTATTCCTGTCGTGTAAATTTGTGTAAGTACACTTACACTCTATGATGTTCAAACGGTGATGAAATCACCTAACGATGCATTTCTCAGTACACATCCCCAGTCATTAAGTGATGCATGACTGTTAGGGCTTCCACATACTTTCTTCCAGTTGCTCTAGAAAATTCTAAAGCAAGGCCGGGCGCAATGGTTCATGCCTGTAATGCCCGTACTTTGGGAGGGCAAGCCGTGAAGAATTGCTTGGACCCGGAAGTTCAAGTCTGGGCAACATGGCAAGACCTCATCCCTACAAGAAATCAAAATAAATTAGCTGGGTATGGTGGCATGCGCCATAGTCCCAGCTACTCAGGAGGCTGCGGTGAGAGGATCCCTTGAAGCCCATTAGTTTGAGGCTACAGTGAGCCATGTTTGAACCACTGTACTCCAGCCTAGGTGTGACAGTAAGATCCTGTCTCAAAAAGAAAAGAAAAGAAAGAAAATATTAAAGCATTTCTTGATAACGTGTTTCTTACCAGGAAGTCACGCAGAACTATATATTGTAAGTAATTGAATCTGTTGCAATACCATCTTTTTGATACTGTTTACTTTTGGCCCCAAGGAGAAATGAAAAGGTGTGAGGCACATATGTTTTACTTAAAATCTGTTACTACCAATTTTAATACACATTTATCATGGCTTCCTTCCCTGTAGAGACTGCAGCACTGTTTTAAGGTATCCTATTAATTAAAAGACTAACGTTTTTTGGGTAGTGACTATTTTTAGGTCCAATTCTTAGTTCCGTAGAGATCATGACACTCATACTAAGTGATGTCCCATTTCTGTTTGTGCTATGGGTCCCATACCACGACCATGGTTCATAAAGCTGTGATTCCAACCCAGGCAGTCAAACTCCAGAGATTGCACTGGACACCATAATACTATTTTGTCCTTCAGTGTTCCTAAAGCCTAGGCCTCGTTTACCCTAAGGCCCTTGGCTTTTACATGATACTCTCCTCCTCCAGAAGACAGCTAATATGGCTGCTGTTCACACTAGTAGTTATTAATTGCTGTTTGTGTGAATAGTCCTATATCATTTCAGGTCAGGTTTTGCCACCAAATAAGTTTAAAAAAATTTTAAATTGTTAATTTAGCAAAGCTGTTGGAATTCTACTGAATTACAGACCTAACTAAATGACTTGGAGAAATGTGACACAAAGTGATGTTTTTATTACAGCCTTTTTAATTTTGTAGGTGATATAAGGAATTCTCTCATCTTACAGGACTGCTGATGGAGGAGGTTTGGTAGAAAAACACTATGTCTTTCTGAAGAGGCTCTGTCAGGTGTTGTGTGCGCTGGGCAATCAGCTGTGTGCATTGCTGGTGAGCTAGTGCTTGCTTTCTAGAGAGCTTCAAGCCTATTTGGGAAGAGCATTTAGAAACTTATGTTTCAATAAGGGGTTGCAAATGTCATTGATTTTAGCCTGATGGGGCAGTGCCCTACAAGTTATTGCATGATTCTATAGATTAAATTATCTTAATAGAATAGTGTTTGAGTGATCTAAATTTATTTTAACAATAAAATAGCTATACCAACATCAGATATCCACATCTATTATTCCATAAAGTCAATGTTGGTTTCTTGTGAATTTTGGTACTTACAGAACCTTAAGCTGCTGAGTGCTTTATGCTTTTACATTCTATTAGCCCACGAAACATGGACTTGAATAAAGAACCTTTTCCCAATCTAAGGGGTGTGTTACTGGATCACAAAAGAAAACTTGAGTCTGATTGACCTGGAAAACCTGCCATTAGAGAAATATTTAATACTCAGTCTTATAAGTTGGAAGATAGGACATTGGAACAGACATTAGCAATTGATGTTATATCTTTTTGTGGTGGTTTAAATGGTTAGAGAGGATAGTTTCACAGATAGAAACCATTGAGGGGGCCAGGCGCAGTGGCTCATGCCTGTAATCCCAGCATTTTAGGAGGCTGAGGTGGGCAGATCACCTGAGGTCAGGAGTTTGAGACTAACCTGGCCAACATGGTGAAGCCCTGTCTGTACCAAAAATACAAAAATTAGCCAGGCATGGTGGTGCATGCCTGTTATCCCAGCTACTTGGGACGCTGAGGCAGGTGAATCACTTGAACCCAAGAGGTAGAGGTTGCAGGGAGCCAAGATTGGGCCACTGCACTCCAGCCTGAGCAACAAAGTAAGACTCCATCTAAAAAAAAAAAAAAAAAGAAAAAAGAAAGGCCAGGTGCGGTGGCTCACGCCTGTAATCCCAGCACTTTGGGAGGCTAAGATGGGCGGATCACGAGGTCAGGAGATCGAGACCATCCTGGCTAACACGGTGAAAACCCGTCTCTACTAAAAGTAAAAGAAATTAGCCGGGCGCAGTGGCGGGTGCCTGTAGTCCCAGCTACACAGGAGGCTGAGGTAGGAGAATGGCGTGAACCTGGGAGGCGGAGCTTGCAGTGAGTGGAGATCGCGCCACTGCACTACAGCCTGGGCGACACAGCGAGACTCTGTCTCAAAAAAAAAAAAAAAACCAGAAAGAAAAAAAAAGAAACTATTGATGGGGTTATTTAATAGGTTGGGACACAGAGATGTGAATAGGTAAGGTCTGAGGAAGTAATACAGACTTTTTTTCTTCCTGTAATTTATGAAATGAGTATTTTTTATTTTACTATTTGACCACAGAATGGGTTTTAATGATGATGATTGAGTAGGCAAAGTAACTTTCCTATATTTTAGCCCTTGAAGTGATATCCTTCTTTAGCCAAAAGGAAATACAAAGTCCTTTTAAAACAAAATTTTTGAGGGTTTGATTTATCTGTTTTTATTTCTTCCCTGCTTTTTCTTCTCCTGCTTTTCTCAATCAACACCATTAATATAGTGGTCTTCTCTGACAGGGTGTAGATTCTGATGTAGAAACACCATCAAACTTTGGAAAATACCTGGAATCTTTTCTTGCTTTCACAACCCATCCAAGTCAGGTAAACTTTATACAGGTAACTTCTTAAAATTTCTGTTAGGTGAACCAATATCAAGCACTGTATCCTGAAATATTATTGTAGATCATGTATAAAATGTGACTCTTCAGGCCTTGGGGAATGACCATAGTGTCATTTCATTAAGAGAATTATTGGCTCTTCTTCCTGAGCCAAATAGTGCACTTGTCTAGGTCAGCAGCTTTTCTGTTTAGGTAATATTCTGATTGTACTCAGTCACATGTGAGGTATGTCCCAGGTGATTTAGTACTAAAGTTATAAAGATTTTTAAAACAAAAGTCTGATTAATTGTTTTATAAAATTAATTTCACTGAGTTCAAAATTGTCCTTCTAATATCACTCTGAGATTCCAGCATCCTTTATTGCAAAGAAAAGAAAGTAGTAAAATTCAGTCCACACTCCAGGTAATTTCCTTGACCCACAGCCTATCTTAATAACATGTGGTCCATAGTGGGTAGTCATTACTGATACACTGCAGTGGAGACAGCTTCAAAGTATTGTACAGATTTATTTATATGAAAAAATGTAGTTGATAACTGCTAAATAATAATCTGGGTTATATAAAATCCAAATCCTTAGACTGATGTTTTGTTTTTTTCTCTTTAGTTTCTACGCTCTTCAACTCAGATGACTTGGGGAGCCCTCTTCAGGCATGAAATCCTGTCCCGTGATCCTTTGCTATTAGCAATAATACCAAAATATCTCCGTGCTTCCATGACTAACTTGGTTAAGGTATATAATGGGAATCTAAATGTGGAATGTAGGTGTATACACATCATAAGACTTTGAGGCTGGGCGCAGTGGCTCACACCTGTAATCCCAGCTCTATGGAAGGCTGAGGCAGGAGGATCACTTGAGCCCAGGAGTTGAAGACCAGCCTGTGCAACATGGCAAAACCTCGTCTCTACTAAAATACAAAAAAATTAGCAGAGCATGGTGGTATGCACCTGTAGCCCCAGCTACTGGGGAGGCTAAGGTGGGAGGATCACCTGAGCTTGGGAAGTTGAGGCTGCAGTGAGCTGAGATCACACCACTGTACTCCAGCCTAGGCGATGAGAGTGAGACCCTGTCTCGGGGGAAACATAAAAAAGACTTTGATTGGCATTATTAACAGCCCTTTCTTCATCACTAAGATTCCTTTATTGGACATATTTTCTTATTCCTTAGGAAGAAATCAGTCCTTACTGGTTATTATAACCGCTCTTCCATATGAGAGTACTTATATATCGTAAGTATTGGGCTAGGTGCTAGGGCAAGAGCAGTGACCATACATACATTCTGCTTTTTAACCCCAGAATTGCTATTTATCTGTTTTTATGATGATTGAGTAGGCAAAGTAACTTTCCTATATTTTAGCCCTTGAAGTGATGCCTTTCTTTAGCCAAAAGGAAATTCAAAGTCCTTTTAAAACAAAAGGGCTTTGTAAACAAGGCCTTTTTAAAACAAAAGGCCGCACGCGGTCACACTGTGTTCTTGTTTTCTGCCTTGGTCTTCAATACTTTTTTGAATGAAACATACAAAGTTCTACAAGTTTATTCTCAGTGTTCAGTATTTGAGGCAAGTAGCTCTCAATTCTTTCTTCTTTACTACATACTGAATTATCATTTTTTCTTGGGACTCTAAAAGAATTCAAGAATTTAATTCTCCCTGAGGAACTTGGAAGATGGTATCAACTAAAAGTATTCTCTTTCTGCTACTGAGGAATACTGCAACTGGGAACAAACTGTGGACCTGTGATAGAACTGAAGTGGTTATTTACCATACAATATCTCATGCAAACCCTTAACTCTTAAAATAAATTAAAAGTGCTTGAACTCCTGAAGCTTAAATACTCTTTCAGTGGGTCCATTTTCATCCCCTACCCCTATTACCTTTCTCTTTCCAGATGGGCTTTCCTTCTAAAACAGACAGCCCTAGCTGTGAATATTCTCGATTTGATTTTGATAGCGATGAGGACTTCAATGCTTTCTTCAACTGTAAGTGATGTTGGCCTTGGATTTCTCTCAACAGTCTCCGAATGGCATCTAGTATTATGATTGATGGTGCGTGATGTTTGGGGTTTTTACGAAAGATCCCCAAATCTGGATAGCAGCCTACTTATTAAGCCCTAGTTTCCCATTGCAGAAGAATGCTGGGGCTGTATTCCAGGCATAATGTTTTGTTTTACACCACAAACCCCCAAAGCACTTGGACATTGATGTTTAGGGACAGTAACCATACTTAAGATGCTCTTGACTTTTTTTCATACTTAGGATTAAATACCATCTTACCTTATGGTTCTTTGTTTCCCCAAAAAAGTGGAAAAATCCATTTTATTCTAATATTCTCGTTCTGTTCTGTGTTTTCTGTGCCTTATTTCCTTTTTTTTTTTTTTTTTTTTTTTTTTTTTTTTTTTTGAGATGGAGTTTTGCTCGTTGCCCAGGCTGGAGTGCAATGGCACGATCTCAGCTCACCACAACCTCCACCTTCTGGGTTCGAGCGATTCTCCTGCCTCAGCCTCCTGAATAGCTGGGACTACAGGCACCTGCCACCATGCCCAGCTAGTTTTTGGGGTTTTTAGTAGAGACAGGGTTTCACTGTGTTAGCCAGGATGGTTTCAATCTCCTGACCTCATGATCCACCTGCCTCGGCTTCCTAAAGTGCTGGAATTACAGGCATAAGCCACCACACCCAGCCTGTTTTGTTTTTTTGTTTTTTTGTTTTTGTTTTTTTTTTTTGAGACAGAGTCTTGCTCTGTCGCCCAGGCTGGAGTGCAGTGAAACACTCGGCTCACTGCAAGCTCTGTCTGGGGTTCAGGCGATTCTCCTGCCTCACCCTCCCGAATAACTGGGATTATAGGCATGCACCACCATGCCCAGCTAATTTTATTTTTAGTAGAGATGGGGTTTCATCATGTCGACCAGGCTGGTCTCGAACTCCCGACCTCTGCTGATTCACCCGCCTCAGCCTCCCAAAGTGCTGGATTACAGGCGTGAGTCACCATACCCCGCCTTCATTTCTTTTTATTGCCAATATTTCATTGTATGGATATGCCACATTTACTCATTTATTCGTCTGTTGATGGACATTTGAGTTATTTCCATTTTTTGGCTATTACAAATAATGCTGCTATGAACATTTATATACAAGGTTTTGTGTAGACATAAGTTTTTGTTTCTCTTAGATATATAAGTAGGAGGAGAATTGCTGGATAATATGGCAATTGCATGTTTAATATTTTCAGGAACTGCCAGGCTGTTTCCCACAGCAGCTGCACCATTTTTTATTACCACCAATCTGATTTACTTGTTAAAATTTTTTTTATTTTATTTTGAGACATGGTCTCATTCTGTTGTCCAGGCAGGAGTAGTGCTGTAATCATGGCTCACTACAATCTTGACCTCCCTGGGCTCAGCTGATCCTCCTACCTCACCCTCCCAAGTTGTTGGGACTGTAGGTGCATGCCACCACACCTGGCTAATTTTTGTATTTTTTGGTAGAGACTGGATCTCACTGTATTGCCCAAACTGGTTTTAGACTCTTGGGCACAAGCAGTCTGCCCACCTTGGCCTCCTAAAGTGCTAGGGTTTCAGACGTGAGCTACCACGCCCAACCCTGATTTCCTTTTAATTCCAACAGAAATGAGAGACTAAGTTTAGTTTGCCACTTACAGGATCTAGTTGGTAATACAGCTTCCAGAGATCATTTATTTTTAAAAAATTCTGGATTCATTAATAAAGTTTTATTGATTATTACATGCAAAGCACAAGTCTGCAAAACAGTTCCTTTGAATGCTTTTCCCCTAGGGTGGTAAATTAATAAACATTAAGTACCTATTTTATACCAGTTGTTGATTCCTATCCTTCCCTTGGCATTTTCCCTTGGCAGCCTCCCGAGCCCAGCAAGGAGAGGTGATGAGGTTGGCATGTCGTTTGGATCCCAAAACTAGCTTCCAGATGGCTGGGGAGTGGCTAAAGTATCAACTATCAACTTTTCTTGATGCTGGTTCTGTGAATTGTAAGTTTTTTTTATTACTGAATGTTAGTGAAATGTTAGGACAGTATCAAAACTATATATAGGAAATGAACCTGAGCCACACACACATCAGAACAATGTACTAATACTAGTCAGAAATAGCTTTGCTCACTGCCTGATTCTATCTTGGAGAGGGAGCATTTTCATTGGCTCACACAAAAAAAGCAAATGACACATTTTAAATTTAAGTTAGGGTAAAACCATGTCCTTATCAGTTTTGCCATCATTTTCCATTTCTAACAGAATCAACCAATTATTGTTGATTTTATTTGCTTCACTTAAGGCACCAACTTAACAAATTGCATGCCTAGACCTAACTTCAAAACTTTTCAGCCAAATTCTTGCATAGCAGTATTCCTGAATTCAGAAAGGATCTCCCATTAGACATAACAGGAATAATACAGGGACTTCGCATATCACTCAGCCACCCCAAAGCTTTCGGGAAATTATACTTTACAGAAAATCAAAATAAACCCCCTCTACCCAAATGTCTCAGCCAGTTAACTTCTCTGTGCTCCATATGTTTTGTCTGTTATCTTAATGCATGCTATATGTGTGTGACAGTATTAATAAAGCAAAAAGGCTGGGCGCAGTGGCTCACACCTGTAATCCCAGCACTTTGTGGGGCCGAGGCGGGCAGATCACCTGAGGTCGAGAGTTTGACACCAACCTGACAACCTTGGAGAAACCCTGTCTCTACTAAAAACACAAAAAATTAGCTGGCGTGGTGGTGCATACCTGTAATCCCAGCTACTCAGGAGGCTGAGGTAGGAGAATCGCTTGAACCCAGGAGGTGTAGGTTGCGGTGAGCTGAGATGGTGCCATTGTACTCCAGCCTGGGCAACGAGAGCAAAATTCCATCTCAAAAAAAAAAGAGAAAAAAAAGGGGCGAATTAACTAGTGCACGTCACTGCTTTATAAAAGCACCATACTACTGGCTGACATTTGAAGGATTTAACATTCAGTTGCATTTACAATTGGCTCTGAAGTTCTCTGATATTTGGTAACTTGAAAGGTTGAAGAAGCCCAAATGTGTTGCACCAAGATGAAACTAGTAAATAGGACTGCGCTGTATGTAAGCAAGAAAAGCAATTGGTAAATCTTAGGCCGGGCAGGGTGGCCCACACCTGTAATCCTAGCACTTTGGGAGGCCGAGGCTGGGGATCATCTGAGATCAGGAGTTCGAGACCAACCTGGCCAACATGGCAAAACCCTGTCTCTACTAAAAATAAAAAATTAGCTGGGTGTGGTGGCAGGCCCCTATAATCCTAGCTACTCGGGAGGCTGAGGCAGGAGAATCACTTGAACCCAGGAGGTGGAGGTTTCGGTGTTCCAAGATCAAGACTGTGCCACTACACTCCAGCCTAGGCGACAAAGCGGGACTCCATCTCAAAAAAAAAAAAAAAAAAAAAAGCGGCTGGGCGCAGTGGCTCATGTCTATAATCCCAGCACTTTGGGAGGCTGAGGTGGGTGGATCACGAGGTCAGGAGTTCAAGACCAGCCTGGCCAGGATGGTGAAACCCCGTCTCTACTAAAAAAAAAAAAAAAAATACAAAAATTAGCCGGGCATAGTGGCAGGCGACTGTAATCCCAGCTACTTGGGAGGCTGAGGCAGAGAATTTCTTGAACCTGGGAAGCTGAGGTTGCAGTGAGCTGAGATCTCGTCACTGCCCTCCAGCCTGGGCGACAGAGTGCGACTCCATCTCAAGCAAACAAAAAAAGAAAAGTAATTGGTAAATCTTTTTGCTTGTGCCTTGCTATTTGAGTGGTGTGCTATGGTAATATTTGTAAACTTAAAGGGTGGCATCCTTCTCTAGACATAACCCTTCAGGTTGTCATGAGGCTGTTGGATGTGAAGCAGTGTTTTGTGTATTATATTGTTTCCTTATTGGGAAGATTCTCTGTGGTCTCAATTTTAATTATTTAGATTCTCATGGAAAAGATTATAAAGGGGGGGGGGAAACTAAGTCATGTTTATCAAGTGCGTACTAATGGGCCAGGCAATGTTTTTGATGTTCACCTGTGTATTCTCATTCATTACTCAAAATGGTTTTACTCTAAGGCTCATAGAGGTGAATTCAGACTGCTCATTGTCAGAGGAGGACGCATGGTAGGAACCTTCACCTACCTCACTGCTTTCAGCGCACATCATCTTTTCTTTGCCCAAGCTGAGACGGGTTAGATTACCCTACTCCTTCAATCATGAAATTCTCAGGTGTTCTCTAAAGCTCCATTGTCTCTCTGTGTCTTCTGTGATCTTTCAATGCTGATATTTGTGTGTGTGTGTGTGTGTGTGTTTTAAAGCTTGCTCTGCAGCCGGAACTGGAGAAGGAAGCCTCTGTTCTGTCTTCTCACCTTCATTCGTGCAGTGGGAAGCCATGACTCTTTTTTTGGAAAGTGTTATCACCCAGATGTTTCGAACGCTAGATAGAGAAGTAAGTAATTATTTCCCATGCTGACTGCATGATTGTTTTGACCTTTTTCTTTTATTTTCTCTTTCTTTTTTGAGACACGATCTCTCTCTGTTGCTCAGGCTGAAATGCAGTGGCACAATCATAGCTCTCTGTAACCTCCAACTCCTGGACTCAAGCAATCCTCCTACCTCAGGCTCCTGAGGATCTAGGACTACAGTCATGTGCCACCACACCTGGCTAATTTATAATAGAAATGGAGTCTGTGTTGCCCAGGCTGATCTCAAACTCCTGGCCTCAAGCGTTCCTCCTGCCTTGGCCTCCCAAGGTGCTGAGATTTCAGGCATGACCCACAACACCTGGCCAGTTTTGATCTTTTTTTAACTGGTGGTAGAATAGGAAGATCTATGGCTGTACGTCTTACAGAAAAGGAAGCAGATTTAGAGAGGCTAAATAGCACACTCAAGTTCAAACAGCTAATGAAATGGCAAAGCTGGGACCAAAACTCAGGTCTTTCTAACTCTAAGCCCTACCACATTTAGTATACATTTTAAGTACCACACTACTTTAGAATACTGTAGGCCACCAGTATAGTGGCCACTTGTAGGTCTGAAAAGGAGGGTATGCACAGAGAGCCTCCACTGATAGGTAAAATCATATTTCTTAAAGTGGGCAGATGAGGATTTACTAAATTATAGAGAAATAGACAAAAGATATAATCCAATAGAGGAGAACCTAAAGTAGCTGATAAGCCGGGCACAGTGGCTCATGCCTGTAATCCCAACACTTTGAGAGGCCAAGGCGGGCAGATCACTTGAGTTCAGGAGTGCCAGACCAGCCTGGCCAACATGGTGAAACCTCGTCTCTACTAAAAATACAAAAATTAACTGAGCATGCTGGTGCACGTCTGTAATCCCAGCTACTTGGGAGGCTGAGGTACAGGAATCACTTGAACCCAGGAGGCAGAGGCTGCAGTGAGCCAAGATCACGCCAGTGCACTCCAGCCTGCGTGACAGTGAGATGCTGTCTCAAAAAAAAAAAAAAAAGGGTGGGGCGCAGTGGCTCAGGCCTGTAATCCCAGCACTTTGGGAGGCTAAGCTGGGTGGATCACCTGAGGTCAGGAGTTCCAGATCAGCCTGGCCAACATGGCGAAACCCTGTCTGTACTAAAAATACAAAAATTAGCCGAGCGAGCATGGTGGTGGGTGCCTGTAATCCCAGCTACTCAGGAGGCTGAGGCAGGAGAATCATTTGAACCTGGGAAGTGGAGGTTGCAGTGAGCTGAGATCGTGCCATTGCACTGGGCAACCAAGTGTGATATATAAAGTAGCTGATAAATCTGAAAAACATTCAGCCTCATGATCAATTGAAGAAGTACAAACTTTAAAAGGTTTTAGGGAATAATATACTGCTGAGAAGATGGTAAGAAGGGCACACACAGCTGAGTTCACACTTGTAATCCCAACACTTTGGGAGGCCAAGATGGGAGGGAGGAATGTTTGAACCCAGGAGTTTGAGACCAGTCTGGACAATATAGTGAGAACTCATCTCTACTAAATAAAAAAAAATTAGCCAGGCATGGTGGTGTGCGCCAGTAGTCCCACCTACTTGGGAGGCTGAGGCTGCAGGATCACTTGAAACCAGGAATTTGAGACCAGCCTGGTCGATATAGCAACACTTCTACAACTTCTCTACAAAAATTTTTAAAAGTATCCAGGCATGGTGGTGCCCGCCTGTAGTCCTAGCTACTCAGGAGTCTAAGGCAGGAGGATCCCTTGAGCTCAAGAGTTTGAGGTTACAGTGAGCAATGATTGTGCCACTGCACACTCCAGCCTAGGTGACAGAATGAGACCCTGTCTCTTTAAAAGATGAAAAGAAAATGTAGCCAAAATGGTTATTTCTGAGTGGAGGCAGTCATGTCAACCTCTGTTTTATGTCTTTGTTACAGGAAATTCCTGTTAATGATGGAATAGAGCTATTGCAGATGGTTCTGAACTTTGATACCAAGGATCCCCTCATCCTGTCCTGCGTCCTTACCAATGTCTCTGCACTCTTTCCATTTGTCACCTATAGACCAGAGTTCCTGCCCCAGGTCTTCTCTAAGGTATAAAGTCCATCTCCTTTGTAAATTTTATTTTGACATTTCTAAGTTAATTTTTATTTATTTTATTTTTTGGAGACAGGATCTTGCTACATTTCCCAGGTTGGACTCAAACTCCTAGTCTCAAGGGATCCTCACACCTCAGCCTTCTGAGTAGCTGAGACTACAAGCATGCACAACCACGCCTGACCTAAGCTAATTATCTTTGTAACTATTTTTGAAATTATGTGAGGCAAACTAATAAACACAGCTATTTATTCATTTATTAAATATCTACTCAGTATTTATTGCGGATCAGGCACCATGCTAGTGCCTCACTCTTTAGGAACACTCTGGGAAGAAAGGCACAAAAACAGTTAACGTTACCTATATGGCATTGCAATGAAGACTTGTATAAAGGAGAGTATTATAGTGTGCTGTCGGGCTGCGAGGGGATTTATGAGAGGAAGGAACACTTTCTAGGTTTCCAGTTCAGTTGACTAGGTGTGTGATAGATCCACTACCTGAGTCAGAATACCAGATCAGGAAGGAGAACGGGGGTAAAGAAGAGAAGAAAGTGAGTATTTTGGAATGCTGTGTTTGATGAATATGTAGAACATCTTTGTGGAGACCTCTCACAATAAATTGGCTATTTGAGGTTGAAGATCTAGACTCCAGAAAGTAACGAGATAAAATTAAAGCATCATCATCATAGAAGTCCCACGACTAAAAGTGAAGTCTTACTGAAGTGATGATGTATGTAGAGTTAGGAGACATGTGAGTCAAGCAAGGAACCTAGTGAATTGCCATCATTGGAGGAGTGGAGAAAAAAATGAGAAGCTCCCCCAGAAGGAAAAAGAGCCAGAGAAATGAAGAAAATGTTGTATCACAAGACCAGTAGAACTTCAGAAAAGTGGGCTCATTTGTTGCAAATTCTTTGAGTTGGAGAATGTTCAGTGAGTTTCTTGACTACACCCTCATCTGAGTTTAAATCCATAATAGTGGCCAAGGAAGCAGTCTTATTTCATTGGAATGAGGAGTAAATGGGAAGTAATGAAATGGAATCGAGAGGACAGATCATACAACTTTTGATAAAAAGAAGAGAGAGGGGTTTCCATAGCCACATACTTGGGTGATAGCATGAATTGTTCTGGGATCCTATTGTAAAATGTTTTGATGGTAAAATTGTGACTCCGATGACTCTTGTAGAGGTATCTGAGAAAATGGACAATATGAATAAGCTCATGCCTATAGTCGCAGCTACTCAGAAGGCTAAAGCAGGACAATCAGTTGAGTCCAGGAATTCAAGGCTAGTCTGGGCAAAATAGCAAGATCTCATCTCTAAAACAAATAAACAAACAAACATGAGTGACCTTTTTTCCTCCTCTCCCTTAGCTATTTTCATCTGTCACTTTTGAAACTGTTGAAGAAAGTAAGGTAAGACCATTAATTAAGCCAATAGATTCTAACTTCTTGAGTACAAATGTATGAATACCTGATACTCAGTTTATATTTTTATATAAATGGGAGGGGGTAGTAAAGGTGGTAGATTATCATATGATACGGTGTTTTGCCCTAGAGACACTATAGGGCATACAGGAAACATGGATTCTTGGTGGCTATAAATGTTACTCCATTTTACTCTTAGGGTTGTGAAAAATCTTTGTGAACTTGCCCTTGACTGAGATACTTACATGATTCTATGCAGCACCTGTATATTATATCAAAAGTAGCTCCATGTTTGTTGAATGTCTCTTTTCAGGCCCCCAGAACCCGGGCAGTGAGGAATGTGAGGAGGCATGCTTGTTCCTCCATCATCAAGATGTGTCGTGACTATCCCCAGCTTGTGTTGGTAAGCTGCTGGACCCTGGCTGAAGTAGCCAAGTTTGGTTACATTTGTGTGTAAATCCAGCCTTCAGTGTACCTCACATAAATTAAAAACTAGAGACTGGGGACAGTGGCTCACGTCTGTAATCCCAGCACTTTGGGAGGCTGAGGCGGACAGATCACAAGGTCAGGAGATCAACACCATCCTGGCTAACACGGTGAAACCCCGTCTCTACCAAAAATACAAAAAAAAAAAATTAGCTGGGCGTGGTGGCAGGCACCTGTAGTCCCAGCTACTCTGGAGGCTGAGGCAGGAGAATAGCGTGAACCTGGGAGGCGGAGCTTGCAGTGAGCCAAAATCGCGCCACTGCACTCCAGCCTGGGCGACAGAGTGAGACTCAGTCTCAAAAAAAAAAAGAAAAGAAAAAGAAAAAACTTGGAAACTATAGCTTTGCATCATATAAGCATCCTTGGCCGGGCATGGTGGCTCACACCTCTAATCCCAACACTTTGGGAGGCTGAGGTAGGTAGATCACCTGAGGCCAGGAGTTCGAGACCAGCCTAGCCAACATGGTGGTGTCCCATCTCTACTAAAAGTACAAAAAATTAGCTGGGCATGGTGGTGCATGCCTGTAATCCCAGCTACTCAGGAGGCTGAGGCAGGAGAAGCACTTGAACTCAGGAGGCGGCAGTTGCAGTGAGCCAAGACCGTGCCATTGGTCCAGCCTGGGCAGCGAGCAAAACTCCATCTCAAAAATAAATAAATAAACATTCTTGAATTAGTATTTTCTTAGTATAGTTAGTAGTATAGTTAGAAATGTGATGGCAAATGTAATCTCTCTTCAAAATACAAGTAGTTATCTGCCATATAGATTACTAAGTTTACCCCTATAATTCTATAACTCTTTACTGTGTGATGGTCTTAATTACTACTGCCAAATGATGTGCCTGATCTTGAGAAAAGCAGATGCAAATCACAACCCTTTTCGGGGCGTGGGGTTATAAGAAATGTAATATTACTCCAGATTACAAATTATCCAGAAATTTCTTCTCTGAATGCACAGCAGTTATCTCCATATGTGTGTGTGTGTGTGTGTGTGTATATATATATATACACACACATATATATACATAAAACAAGCTGATCTTTTCACATTTGTGGTATGGGAAAGTGCAGTTATCCAAATACTCAAGACAAGAGCTATCTTCTGCCTAAATTACCTTGCTTATTTAGGCAAAATAAAGACGTATAACAGAATTAACCAAGTAATAGCCTTATAGGCCTGACTTTCCTGGGACTGCTTTGGTTTTCTTCTTTTTTGCTTGAGGGAGCCACCTCTCCTTGAAAATCAGACCTTTACCACCTCTGACTTTTTTTCTTTTTGATCTGTAGCCCAATTTTGACATGCTTTATAACCATGTGAAGCAACTCCTCTCCAATGAGCTACTGCTGACACAAATGGAGAAGTGTGCCCTCATGGAAGCCCTGGTTCTCATTAGCAACCAATTCAAGAACTATGAGCGTCAGAAGGTGTTCCTAGAGGAGCTGATGGCACCAGTGGCCAGCATCTGGCTTTCTCAAGACATGCACAGGTAAAGGAGACCCCTTGCCCTGACTCTCACTATACTCAAGCACCCATTTTAGTTTCAGAGCTAGGCCCAGGGTGGGGTAAGGGTTAAGGATATTGAAGTGTGATGGCATTATCCATGATATCTGAAGTTCTCTAAAAGCAGTCTTTTGTAATTTAATCTCTGGTTCAATTAGATTGTTGGTGGGGAAGGCACAGAATGAGACTCCTGAGGTGTCTGCATTGCAACACCAGCACATTTAGAGAAATGAGAACAGCTAGGAAAGGCCATACAACCACACAGACACTTATCTGTGCTCATACAGTAGAGAAATTATTTTCTTCTTTATATTTTCAAGATTATATCCTTGTTTAATTCTTAAACTGTTACTAATAACATTTGGGAGTGGGAAGGGAAGTTTGAACCTTCAAATGACAGCTGACAATTAGTATGATTATACTCCTCTCACTATAAAAACTGTTCTTAAGGGCCAAATAATCATAGCCTGTTAACGCCTGTGGAAGACACTGTCCTTGTTTAAAATCATGATATAACTTGTATTTCCCCCTCCAACCTTCAGAGTGCTGTCAGATGTTGATGCTTTCATTGCGTATGTGGGTACAGATCAGAAGAGCTGTGACCCAGGCCTGGAGGATCCCTGTGGCTTAAACCGTGCACGAGTAAGACTTTCTGGGAATGGGAAGTGGCATTGGCTGTGGGTAGGAGTAGGGTGTTGTCTTTTGTCAAGTTTCTCATAGATTTGTTTTTTCTATACTGGTGAGAAACGTGGGAGTCTCCACTTCCCTAAGCTTCTCCTTTCTTTTCTTCTTTAGTCTTGAATTCTTGAGTTAGTTCCCACAGCAGAGCAGATGGTCTTTTCTATGAAGTCATTATTTTGGCTTTAAGGATCTCTAAATAGCTCTGAAGACTGAAGGTGTAATGAGGAAGTAGGTCAGAACTTGGTCAGCAGGGTGAGTCCTCCCTGCCATTGCTCTCTGGCATGTAAAATCTTAAGTGATGGCTTAACTTGCAAACCTGAGATTTTTCAGTGCTTTGCTATATTTAAGTAAGCATTGTTCTTGGCTCCATTATGGCACAAGTCCCATTAATTAACCTGGCAAGTAGTAGGTTGATTCAGAGTACCGTGAGGGGGGATTAGGACACTAGCTGTCAAGGCCCAAGCTGGAGGGTGCAGGATCAACTCAAAGAAGATGAAATGATGGCATTTTAAACACTTTGTTTTGGATCGTATCTAAGCCACCTTCTCATCAGGGTCCTGTGGGTGGGTCACTGCAGCTCCTAGAAAGACAGCTTACTGAAAGGGAAGTTTCCAGAGCCTACCACTGGCCCTGAAAATGGCAGTGAGAGGATCCCTCTTGGACTTCACCTTAAAGGAAGGGATGGGGGATTGCCGGGGAGCAGAGGATTATTTCATTCTCTCTGGCCTCTGTGTCACTTTTGCCAGAACCTTGAATATATCTAACAGTATTTTGTCTTTTTTTTTCCTTTTTATATTTATCTGTCATTCTTATTTTTCTATAGATGAGCTTTTGTGTATACAGCATTCTGGGTGTTGTGAAACGAACTTGCTGGCCCACTGACCTAGAAGAGGCCAAAGCTGGGGGATTTGTGGTGGGTTATACATCCAGTGGAAATCCAATCTTCCGTAACCCCTGCACAGAGCAGATTCTGAAACTTCTTGACAATTTGCTTGCGCTTATAAGGTGAGTCAGAATAATGGCTTTTCTCTGTTGTTTTTTACTTTACCTTAAAACTTTCAAAAGTTTAGTCTGTTTATATGTCTTCGTATCTTAGTGGTATTAATGAGGGATTGATGTAAGTCTTGTTTCTTTCTAGAGGGTGTCTCGGTTTTAAAAAAATAACATCAGCTCTCACTTGCATAAATCTTAATTTCCATGTAAACCCAAGGGGCTAATCCCAAAAGGGCTTTTCTCATTTTGAGCCTCCTCTTTGTTGTTCTTCCATTTCTTTATACTTCATCCCTATTTTTACTTGTAAGTTTTATTTGGTCTAAATTTTTTAGTAAAGGAATTGCTCATTGGGAGCATGGCAGTTGCCTTCTATAATGGTGCTTCTCTGGGTGGTATTCATATGAGCTAATCTGAATCTATCAATACTGAGTCTGAGCTCAAATGAACCAAACAGCCGCTGGCTGAACATGCTAAACAAAGGAATTACACATTTTTCATCTGAGTTTGCTGGGTCCTTGGTTCTCAAAGCTGAGTCCTAAGACCAGTAGCATTAGTATCACCTGAGAGTTTATTTCAAAGGCAGAATCAAGGCCCCACCCCCGATATATTAAATCAGAATATGCATTTTAACTAGATCCCCAGATGGTTTATATACACATTAAACATTCAGAATCACTGTTCTAGATCACATGAGTTAATATATTCAAGTGGAAGTAGGCTAGTATAGGCTTATCAGTTACTAGATAGATATTTGATGACTCAGGGATGCTCTCTAAATAAAAAGATAGATTTTTTATATAATTCAGTTATTGGCCAAAGTGCTTTTTTTGTATCTCACAGGAATTTTTTTTTTTTTTTTTTTTTTTTTTTTTTGAGACAGAGTCTCACTCTGTCACCCAGGCTGGGAGTGCAATGGCACAATGTTGGCTCACTGCAATCTCCGCTTCCCAGGCTTAAGCAATTCTCCTGCCTCAGCCACCCAAGTAGCTGGGACTACAGGTGTTCACCACCACTCCCGGCTAATTTTTGTATTTTTAGTAGAGACAGGGTTTCGCCATATTAGCCAGGCTGGTCTCGAACTCCTGGCCTCAAGTGATCCGTCCACCCCAGCCTCCCAAAGTGCTGGGATTCCAGGAATGAGCCACGGCACCTGGCCTCTCACAGGAATTTTAAATTAAATCGTTAGAGCTCTTTTTCAGTACTTTTTGGCCCTTTCTCCAGGGAGTAAAAGCAATCTCAACTGGGCAAACCAAATTATTTATGTCTACTCCTGGGAATAGACACCTAAGACCTGAAGCCTAAGAACCAAAGATTTCAAATTAATGTTGACAAATTGGAGTGCTGGAGTGACTGATAAAGTTGTCATTGTGGACATATCTGTGGAAATAGACAATATTTTGGCCGGGTGCAGTGACTCACACCTGTAATCCCAGCACTTTGGGAGGCCACGGCGGGTGGATCACTTGAGGTCAGGAGTTTGAGACCAGCCTGGCCAACATGGTGAAACCCCATCTCTACTAAAAATACAAAAATTAGCTGGACCTGGTGGCGCATGCCTGCAATCTCAGCTACTCGAGAGGCTGAGGCAGGAGAATTGCTTGAACCCGCGAGGTGGAGATTGCAGTGTGAGCTAAGATCACACAACTTCACTCCAGCCTGAGCGACAGAGTGAGACTTCCATCTCAAAATAAATAAATAAATAAAAAATAATATTTTCTTTTGATTTCAAAAGGAGGAAAGAGGTCTCTAAAAAGAAGCAGGACTTGTACTGAGAGGGTTAAACATTCAGTCAAGGAAAGGATTGTTTCCATCGTGATGTTTTTATTAATAGAGATGGGGTTTTGCCATGTTGCCCAGGCTGGCCTCGAACAGCGAGCCTGCCTCAGTCTCCCAAAGTGCTAGGATTACAAGTGTGAGCCACCACACCCAACCCCATAGTGATGTTTTTTAAAACCACAACGTTCTTCTGCAGCTAGAGAAATGTGAAAGTGATGGAAATCATAGGGCAAGAAGCTAATCAACCAGGCTTTTTTAGGCCTGTGGCCAGAATCTATGTGGTAACAACCCAGACATGGAAATGGGGTTCATTCCTGGTTGGGTCTAGAGGCCACAAGACAATAGTATGGTTATCATTTTTTATATAATTTTCTTTTTAAAAAAAGTATAATCTCTTTTCAATTTCTAGTTACCTTCCTATCAGTAGAGCAAGATTCTCACATGTTCACTATGTCTTTCTCCAGTTTTTTCTCTATAAATTCACTATTCCTATTTTCTATAGAAAGACAATGGAAAGTGTATAATTGCTGTTGGTAGATAAGTAGGTCTTGAATTTATTTTGCAAACAAGACCTGTTCTGTCTATCTTTTCATTTAGGAGGCTAAAAGCAGAGTCAGCTTGACTTTAAGGACTCTATTTTCTTAGTCTTCAGATGGTTATCATTTTGATATTTTTCTAAGAGTTCAGTGCTTTTAGAAAATTCAAAAAATCAAAAGGCATTTTGAAAAATGCCTAACGTGTAATGATTGAGTAGATTGCTTGAACAGTGTGCAGCTGGAGCTATTAGAGTTTTGCTTTTTTAGTAAATTTTATTGGCTGGGCGGGGTGGCTCACTCCTGTAATCCCAGCACTTTGGGAGGCCGAGGCACATGGATCACTTAAGGTCAGGAGTTTGAGACCAGCCCGATAAACATGGTGAAACCCCACCTCTACTAAAAATGCAAAAATTAGCCAGGTGTGGCAGCAGGTGCCTGTAATCCCAACTACTCAGGAGGCTGAGGCAGGAGAATCGCTTGAACCCAGGAGGCGGAGGTTGCAGTGAGCCAAGGTCACACCACTGCACTCCAGCCTGGGTGACAGGAAAGACTCCATCTCAAAAAAGAAAAAAAATTAAATAAATAAACTTTATCTTGAAGTGTAATATTTATATAGAAAAGGGCATAACTTGTGACTCTGTGTAAATGAATTTTCACAAAGTGGACACATTTGTGTCATCAGCGCTCAGATCAAGAAGCAGCTTTACCCAGTACCTCTTTTCAGTGATTGCCTGCTCCTCAAAGATAGCTACTATTCTGATTTGCATTTATTTATTTATTTACTTACTTACTTACTTACTTTTGAGGCAGGGTCTTGTACTGTCGCCCAGGCTGGGGTGTAGTGTTGTGATCACGGCTCACTGCAGCTTCGACTTCATGGGCTCAAGCAGTCCTCCCACCTCAGCCTCCTGAGTAGCTAGGACTACAGGGGTGAGCAGCCATGCCCAGCTAATTTTTAACTTTTTGGTAGAGACAGGTTCTCTCTCTGTTGCCAAGGCTAGTCTTGAACTCATGGGCTCAAGGGATCCTCCCATCTCAGCCTCCCAAAGTGCTGGGATAACGGATGTGAGCCACCTCACCTGGCCCACTATTCTGACTTTTAACATTTTGCCAAGGTTTTTGAACTTTATGAAAATGAAATCAGAAGTATGCACCTTTTGGTGTCTGCCTTCTTTTTGCTCAATATTTTATTTCTGAGGTTCATCCATGTTACTGCATATACTTGTGTTTTTTTTGCTTATATGATATTTCATTGTGTGAATATGCTGTAACTAATCAGCCTTGATGGACTTTTGGGTGATATTTTAATATTATAGATCATGCTGCTGTTGACATTCTTATGTCAAATATGTTTTGGTGAACATATATACATAATTTGTGTTGGATACACACATAGGAGTCGAATTCCTAGCTTATAAGAAATATGTATTTTCTGTTTTTATAGATGCAACCTGTTTTTTAAAGTGGTTGTACTAATTTATATTCCTACCAGTTATATGCTGGAGTTGGGAGTTTTAAATTACTATTTTTTGGCCAGGCACAGTGGCTCACGCCTGTAATCCCAGCACTTTGGGAGGCCGAGGCAGGTGGATCACTTGAGGTCATGAGTTTGAGACCAGCGTAGCCAACATGATGCAACCCGTCTCTACTCAAAATACAAAAAAAAAAAAATTAGCTGGGCGTGGTGGGGGGATGCCTGTAATCCCAGCTACTCAGGAGACTGAGGCAGGAGAATCCGCTTGTACCTGGGAGGCGGAGGTTGCAGTGAGCCGAGATTATGCTACTGTACTCCAGCCTGGGCAACAGAGGAAGACACCATCTCAAAAAAAAAAAATTGAAAAATAAATAAATTACTATTTGTTTTGTTATGTTTTGTTTGTTTGTTTGTTTGTTTGAGACGGAGTCTCACTCTGTTGCCCAGGCTGGAGAGCAGTGGTGCGATCTCGGCTCACTGCAAGCTCCAACTCCCGGGCTTACGCCATTCTCCTGCCTCAGCCTCCTGGGTAGCTGGGACTACAGGTGCCTGCCACCACGCCCAGCTAATTTTTTGTATTTTTAGTAGAGACGGGGTTTCACTGTGTTAGCCAGGATGGTCTCAATCTCCTGACCTCGTGATCTGCCCGCCTCAGCCTCCCAAAGTGCTGGGATTACAGGCGTGAGCCACCGCACCCAGCCAAATTACTATTTTTTTTTTTTTTTTTTTTTTTTTTGAGACGGGAGTCTTGCTCTGTCGCCCAGGCTGGAGTGCAGTGGCCGGATCTCAGCTCACTGCAAGCTCCACCTCCTGGGTTCACACCATTCTCCTGGCTCAGCCTCCCGAGCAGCTGGGACTGCAGGCACCCGCCACCTCGCCCGGCTATTTTTTTGTATTTTTTTTTTTAGTAGAGACGGGGTTTCACCGGGTTAGCCAGGATGGTCTTGATCTCCTGACCTCGTGATCCGCCTGCCTCGGCCTCCCAAAGTGCTGGGGTTACAGGCTTGAGCCACCGTGCCCGGCCTTACTATTTTTTTAGTAGAGAAAAGTTTGCGTTCCTTAAGAATGTGACAAGGTATTGATAGCACCTCCTGCATCAAATAGTCTCATAATAGAAGGTGTTGAAGCTGTGCTGTCCAGCATGGAAGCCACTAGCCATATGAAACTATTGAGCACTTCAAGCATTACTAGTCAAGTGTTACAGCACTTTTAGAATTTGTCTGGTA